GGAAAGAGTCCTGCACGTGGTGGGTCTGCTTCGCTGTCATGGTAACAGAGCCCTCCTTGTTTCGTTCCAGTTCCAACGCCAATTTCAGCCAGCTCGCTTTATCTCACTCCTTTTGCACACATAAAATATGTTCCCTTGCGAGCACACTAGAAACAAAGGCTTGCGGTATCAACGTGATGCTTACTGCCCTTGCATGTCTTTAAGGTTTCTCATTCAGACGTTGCAGGCAGTCCTGCTAACAACCCGCCTCCGTAGGCACACCTGCGTGCTTCTCTGTGCACCTGACCTGCAACCAGAAGTTTGGTTTTTCCTCGTAAATTCAGCTAGTTCAGTGGTTCTAAACCATTTGGACTTTTTTTTTTGAGTGTTGTGTATTTGCAGCACAAACTCTTAACTGAGGCTCCTGAAGATTGTAGAATCACAGAATGGTTTGGGTTGGAAGGAACCTTTAAAGGCCATCTAGTCCAACTCCCCTGCAGTGAGCAGGGGTGTCATCAACTAGAGCAGGATGCTCAGAGCCCCGGCCAACCTGGCCGTGAATGTTTCCAGCGATGGGGCCTCCACTACCTCTCTGGGCAACCTGTGCCAGGATTTCACCATCCTAATGGAAAAAATTTTTTTCCTTGTATCCACTCTAAATCTGCCCTCAAGATGGTTCACCACTCTGTGCACCCTGCAGTGGCTGGTTAGGGGTCATCTGTGGGCCAGGCTGTGCACTGCTGCTCTCTTTTCTGTCAGAGTGGCTGGGTTTTTGAATGGTTCCTGGTTTTGGCAGTGATAATACAGCCTTTGCTTCTGCAGGTAAACGGTAATTATTGATTTGTTCCTTGAGGTTTATGATGAGACTTTTTTTCTGGCCAGTTTACTTTGTCACGGGGTGAGACTATTTAAAAGGCAGCGGTACTAAAAATAATACCTAGGCATAAGACTTGAATGTACAGTATTCCTCGGTGACTGTAGCGTTAAAATCTGTCCTACTTATAAAGGCCTGTTGTTCACATACATAAATTGGTAGTCTTTGAAAATGAGCAGTTACGTTCTTGATTATTTTTTGGTTAAAATGGAATCTTAATGATCCATCTATCTAGCTGTCCATTAATAATAAGCTGTCTACAGATCAATGAGCAGTCTCATTGCTTACCTTCATACTGTAGCTGCTTACCCAACTTTTTTTATGCTTTTAAGTTCTGTATTCTGCGTCCATTAATGAGTGTGTGTGATACACATCTGGGAAGGAAGCTCGCCCACAGAATTTCTGTTCTCTATCCTGGGAAGTACTCCCTACTAAATATACCCATAGGACTTCTGCTGTGATAGGCTTTATAATTACACTCAGTATAAATTTGAATTCTGGTTGCAGTGGAGTTTATCTGAAAATCACTTACCTCTTTTAGCATGAAACACCTTTATTTCTGTGCAGCTCTTAGCAGAGTAGGTTCTGGGGGGTTCTAGGCTCTGCTGCATCACAAGTATTCCTAGGAATTTTGTTTGCCTTTATTCAGTATGAAAATGTGCGGCAGTGTACGTGAAATTGTATCATTTAAATCTCGGTGGCTGAAGTCAAGACTGTTGCTGTAAGTTAGCTCCTCTTTCTTCACAGGCTGCATGCAATTTCATCAAATCTCATGTGGACTCCAGCAGTGTTGATTCCCTCTTCTACGCTGCACAGTCCATCCGGGTCCTGTCCGGCTGTCAGGTGAGTTTGGAGCCCTGAGCTCTGAAGACAGATGTTACTAAGGAAATATTTACTTTGGTCTTTTTCTTGGGTTTATTTTATGCATAACTTCTATTTTTACTTTCTGTTAGTAGGTTGTACTCTGTTGTGTCTTAGGTAAATAATTGTATGGGACTGCTCTATACAAGGCAAGGTATAAAGATATAAAGCAAGTATTTGGTCTACAGTAATTCTGAGGGGATGTTTCTTCATTAGACATTGGTGGCTAAGAAAAAAGGAGCCTGCACATTTTAATAGAATTCACAGCAGCTGTGTCAATTAAAAAGTTGTTGGGCAAATGATAAACTGTTTGGATGTAAACCCTGTGGTGAAACACTGCTCACTGGCTGCTGCACAAGGATGTGATGCCAGATGAAAAGCAGTAGCAGGTTACCAGGATGAATCTGAGTTGTGGATTATCCTGACTAATTGATAGTTGACAGCGAAATTTAGGGATTTAATTAATTAAGCTAAAAGGTAATGAATGATAAAGGGCTTTTTCCCAAAAGCTTGTAGTTGTTCACCAGTCATGTGTGTTCCGTCAGGTGACTAGAAGGCCTTGTTTTCTCAGGTGCGAATCGCCATGTTCCCTGTGTTCTTCCTCAGGTTACCATTTCAAATGAGACCAGGGAGCTGCTGCTTGCAGCTGTCAGTGAGGATTCCTCAATCACCCAGATCTTCCACGCTGTTGGGGCCCTGAGTGGCTTTGGCCTGCCTTTAGCATCTCAGGAAGCACTTAGTGCTCTTACTGCTCGTCTGAGCAAAGAAGAAAATGTGCTGGCGTAAGTCTTTCGGGTGGGAATGATTCATTGTTGCAGTTGGATTTTGGAGTAAAGGGTATTTTAACACTTAGTTTTTGTAACATAGATGTAGTAGAGTTGATGCTGTGTATTTTGATGTATTTGTCCAATGTTATTGTACCTCTGGGGGAATGAAAAATATGGATTTGGGCTATTTTCTGTGTGATTTTGCAAATGAGCTTATGTATTCAATTTAGTTCAAGAGTAATGGTCAGTAAAGAGGACATATCCCAAAGAAAAGCTTCCTCTCAATAAGATTCACAACAGATTTTTGGCTTGATAGCCAGCCGTGGTTCTGTGTCATTTATGGTTGCAGTAGACT